TAAGGCTGTGGTCTCCCTCATTTTCAGTAAAAAGTCACTGGGTAATGGCCTAAAGGATTACCCTGGAGGAGGTAGATATGCTACACACACACACACACACACTCGCCATAGCCCGCTGTGATTGGTAAGGTGCCCCCGGTGTCGGATCTGCTGTTGCGATCCACCACAGGGCCCAAGCACCTGTCATGTGTTTCCCTGGACGGCCTCTGATTAAAAGCGATGGCTCTGGAGCGTGAGGCAGTTCCAGCGATCCGAGCACCAATCTATTCTTCAGCGGCGTGTAGACTTTGGACTGCCTAAGTGCCTCCGGGCGGCCTCCTCTCCTGGAATCCGGCCGTGGGTGTGAATCACTACAAATGATGTGCCGTGTAACATCAGTTGGAAGATGGCTGGGGAAGGACGCGGGGCAGAGGGATTGCAGGAGGCGAATGGTTTCAATGCGAGTGGAGCCGCCCGTCACGTCGGATGCAAGACAGCGGGAGGCCGCAGTCCATCTCGGGTCTTATGGCGGAAGCGGATGGGCAGATCTAGTACGTGTCGGTTGCAAAAGCGCCGGTTTAGGATTACCTGGGAAGGATTCTGTTTCGCCACGTGGAAATCAAGTTAATGAAGCTTCCGCCACAGAAAATTAGCACAGAAATGAATTGCACCACCAAAGTGAGGTCAATTTGCACAGATAAATCCATGAAGAACGGTGGAGTGAATCATCGCAACAGCTCTGCTTGCACTGCTGAGCAGGTTAATTGCCCATTTTGTTTATTGTGAGGAGGAGGCCTGAAACCAATTTCCCCAAGACGCATATCCCAACCTTATGAGCTGGAAAAAGATCAACAACGGAAACCCCCCTCCTGCTGAAAAAAAAGATGATTTTAGCTGACTGATACAAGGAACTCGATAATGCGGATGACACAGAAGCTCTAATCACGACAACAGATCCCAGATCACGAACCCGGGGCCACAGTGTCGACCATGCCAGGTGGAGAGAGAGAGAGAGAGAGAGAGACCATCGTCGGCATCAAAACAAAGTACAGCCCAGAACCCCTCACAGCCGTGCACAATGTCGCCGGCTGCTCACACGCGGCTGCATTTTAATGACATCTCTTCGGATGATCCGGAAGCCCAGATGTCACTGGCTTCTGGATAACTTTCGAGAGGCCAGTTTCTGGTCACTGTGGCAATTACCTTTATGTCAGGCCTCTGAAAGATACGTCTACCCGCGGGACAAGCAGACAGCCAGCGCCATAATGCTCATTACGGATGAATGTGGAGGATGATTCGTCTTGACTCGGGAGTGTGGCCCGCTGCTACCGAGGCCACTGTCCATTTTTTAAGTTCAACTAATACCTCTGGATAGTATTGATTGACGCAACATTGAATGAACTACACCGTGCGTGTGGCTTAAAAAGAAAAAGCAGGTTAGAAGATGTGCCCGTTTTACACGGATACATTTAGAATTAGAAGAAAAGTCTTTGTTAGAAGTATTCATTTGCACCGTTGTTGGAAACCTTGTTTCTTTAAATTTGGTTAATACGAAAATACATTTTACAATTTAAAACGGGCAAAGAATATATTGTTCTATTCTATTCTTGAATTATCTCAAACATATGTTTGGTCCAAATAATAGTTATTACTAATAAGACATAAATATTAGAATACATGTGCTTGATACCATCAGCCTTGTTGTCTTATCAGTACACAAGGCCTGATTTAATATATATATATATATATATATATATATATATATATATATATATATATATATATAGCAACAACACAGGATCCAAATATATTTTTATATTTTAGGTTGGCGCAGCAGCCTTAAAACATCTGCTCACCAAAATATAACTAGGACGGCTTAAAGGTCGGGGATTTTGTGTCAAAGTTCTCCTTGTCTGCTCGTTAGTCCGTCATTGCCACATAGATTCATAAATTTCTCCAAAAAGAAACTCTGTGCTCCTGAAATCTGAATTACAGATGCAGATGCAAAATGATGATTGTTAAATGTAAAAAAAAATCTATCATCCACCATTAAATAAAAACTATATTTTTGGTTACATAAAAAAGGTAAACATCTATTAAAAGGTCTAACCTAATTTATAGCTATAACAGTCGTTTATGTTTACTGCTGTATCACTGCGCTTCCATAAGCCACATATCACCTTTGACTGCTGTGGTGCATGGATGTAATACCTCTGCTGGAGGGTGTGGAGTTCACGTACCTCTCTGGGTTCTTTGCTCAGAACGCGCAGGAAAAGGAAAAAGTCGAAGCACGCGGACAGATAACGGCAGCGTTTGCCACTACTCACTCTGCCGAGTGTTGAAATGAGGTCTGGTCTTTTCAGCTCCACAAGTCTGCAGTTATTATCATAATAATGTCTTGTTTCAAGTCGCCCCGGAACGCCTCCAGCACGGCAGCGCCGATTAAGAAATCTTAATTAAGCTTTTGTAGATTCTCCTTCATCAGACCTTGCCTATTTTTTCTTTTTTTTCCCCCCTTGCTGTACAAAAAACTTGGATTCCTTTAGTCTGTTTTTAAGAGATTCCACTTCTGCCTGAATGAACGAGGTGTGCAAGCGCGCGTGTGTGTGTGTGTGTGTGCGTGTGTGTGTGTGCGCAGGGAAAAAGAAAACCAAAGCCCATGTGTCAAAGCGGGCTTTCAAGTTCCCAGTGCTTCATCCCTCCCGGGGCCACATAAGTATGAGATATTCCTCTGCTGATCCCCTTGTTGTCACAGCAATTTCCCCAGTTGCTCATCATACTTAAACTCCTCTCTCATTTCCATTAGAATCATCCTATACAAAGCTCACCTGAGATTTACACTGAAAGACAAAATTTGGTTTCACCTCTTAAGCTGCGCAGCACGGCGCCCAAAAAATGTAAATGGATACGAGAGCTTCATCCTTCTCGCTCGCAGCAGTGACGGAATACCCCCCTGTTTTGGGGGCCCCCGCGGCCCCGCCGATTCGCCTGTTATCGTGATGCTGCGAGAGTCGGGACTCAAATTAAAAAGCTGGAGCCGGCGCGAGGTACTGCTAAGTGGCAGCATCGGTGCGGGAACATCGCCGCCGGAATTGGTTGATTAAATGACTGTGGAGGTTGATGAGCTGCACTCGGGGACGTCCTCGCGGCGTAGCCTCATCCGTCCGTGTTTTACAGGGAGCGAGTGTCTTAATTAAGCGACGTGAGGGCTGACGGATGGGTCAGGCTCGCTCTCCGTGGGAGACACATTGATTTCACATTACGTATCCAGATGGTCAAGCCATTAGGCCCCGCTCGCAAGTGCATTAGGGTGCTGCTATGCAAGCAGCGCGGTAAAAGGGAAGCTCTAATTATATGATTCAAAGATGCATCAAGTCCTTTTATGCGTCGGATGCGGCGTTTTACAGGAGGTGCGAGCGGGACAAAAACACATTGTAGCAGACGGGGCCTAGTTTGTTAGCGTTGTACATATGTGCCTCAGTTAGGCTTACGGCGGAATTATAATTAGTCTGGAACTAGTGTGCAGCAGCAGAGTGAGAATTCAAACAGCCGCTGCACCGAGCTTTCAACATCTGCTTCTCTGGGTGATCCCTGCAACGGGGCCCGGGGAAAGCCGGCACTGCTAATTACCAATAAAAACCAGCTAAGCTCATTGCCGTGAATTATTTAAGCTTTATCTGAAGTGGACCAGGAATTGCTCCTGAAGCTGAAAAGGCTTTTGGGGCGCGGGGAGGGATCGCAGTTCGTCGCCGCGTCTGGATTAGCACGTTAGCACGCACTTCACCGTGGCCGGCGTTATTGGTGGGAGCCATTGCGGCGCTAAAAGTTCCCGTGCGCGGGGCGTCCGGCAAAAAAATGGCAGCGCTGATGTGAGACCTGCTCACAGTCCGGGGGGGAGTTGCATTGTCATGTAATCCGAAAAGCTTTGCTAAAATATAAGAAGCTTAATGCAAATACGAAGCCGGGCTGAAGTTTATCGCTGCATCCAAAATGATTCCCTTAAATACTGTCGTGCATTTCTTAGATTTCCTCTCTGTGTTTGGAGCTGATGGTGGGATTTCTTGATCCATGCATTACGGTTACTATTAATTTTAGGTTACTATGCCATTTAAGCGTGCTTAACTGCTGGAACTACACTCGTTTGGGATCATACTTGCGTGACGTGTCGTTTGGTTAATGCCTCCCCGTCTAAATTCCCATTAATTTGTCTTCACTCCGTCTTCAGCCACCAGACAAGCACTCAAAAGCATCCTGAGCAAACGGGGGATTGTCTACGGACACCTAAGACTTTTGGTTCAGATAGTGATAAAACTGTTGAAATATTAATAATAAATAATATCTATGTTCACATGTATTTTGCTAAGCAGTTGAATTCATTTTTTTCGTCGACCGACTAATTACCCTGAATGGCATTTGTCCCTCCTCCAGAGTCTAAAAGGATACACACTGCATATGTAGCCACATTTTATCAGTGAATTACAACAATCAATGAATGCAATTTTGCTTAGGTGTAAAGTACAAGAATTTCAGCAAGGCAATATAATTAACTGCGCCAAGAATTCTTGCCTATTTTTCTGTGACGGAGCGCTGCTCGCTCGTGTCGTCCTGAACAGCCAGCATCTGTTTTTTTTCTTCCCCAAACAAAACGCTTCCCAAAGGTATCGTCGCTGTAGTTCCGAATTTCCTAAAGTAAATCTTAACTTGAGTGGCAAATGAGTGGCTCCGTGTTTGTCGTGGGGTGTTTAGGCTTTTCCCCTCTTCTTCCTCCTTCGTGCTGAACAGCTGTCGTTTCATTTTTACAGCCCGAACAAAAAAGAGTTGTCTATCACCGTTAAACACACTTGGATTTTCCTTTACACGGCTGGCCTGTCTGATCTGAACATTGTCATTGTGCTTGGATGGAATGAGAAAGAGTAAACACATATTTATTTGTGCACCGGCATTGCAAATGCTCTTTTACAAAAGTATCACGCCGTACCTAATGTCCTTTTTCTTTCTCCCTTTGCTGTGCTCTTCTGAAGGTCACATGCAGGAAAGCGCGCGGAGGAGTCACGGACCTCATCGAGTGGGGCGACGGCGATGGCGAACAGACGACTTCTCCCACGGGGGCCAGTCCGCGGATCCTCAACCCCCTGCGTTTGTTCGCCAGGGGGTCCCCTGGGTTCAGGAGCAACATGAGGGAAATTACATATTTACAGAACATGGAGGACTTCTGGGACTGGTTATCTAACCAGACAGATGCTCAGGGCGCACAGGCCAGAACTAAACGCAGGCCCATCGTTAAGACCGGCAAGTTCAAAAAGATGTTTGGCTGGGGGGACTTCCACTCCAACATCAAGACCGTTAAGCTCAACCTGCTGATAACGGGCAAGATCGTGGACCACGGGAACGGCACGTTCAGCGTCTACTTCCGCCACAACTCAACGGGCCTGGGCAACGTGTCGGTCAGCCTGGTGCCGCCCTCCAAGGTGGTGGAGTTCGAGGTGGCCCAGCAGTCCACGCTGGAGACCAAAGACACCAAATCCTTCAACTGCCGCATCGAGTACGAGAAGACGGACCGCAACAAGAAGACGGCGCTGTGCGGCTTCGACCCGTCCAAGGTGTGCTACCAGGAGCAGACGCAGAGCCACGTGTCCTGGCTGTGCTCCAAGCCCTTCAAAGTCATATGCATCTACATCGCGTTTTACAGCGTAGATTATAAACTGGTGCAGAAGGTGTGCCCGGACTATAACTACCACAGTGACCAACCCTACTCCTCCACAGGATGATCCGGCTTTTTAGTATGCGCTTGCCTTCGGTCTAATCGTCAAATAACGCAAACGTCAACCTCTGAGCTCCTCGTCCCGCATCACCTAGGTAGACGCGTTGTTTATAAATGGGAAACACGCGGGAGGGATTTCATGTAGTGTTAAAAACTGAACTAAATACAGTGTATCATAGTTAGGTGTGCAGGGACTTGGGTTTAGGGGTTGATTGGATTCAATGTTTTCAACCCGGTGTGACTCCTCCCCTTCACAGCGGCACATGTTCCCCGTAAACCACTGGTGTAATTAGCATGTCGTCCAGATGTTTTGTTCAAGGCTAGACCATAGGCAAGGAGCCTCCCAATGCGCAATGCAGAGCTGGCTTCTGTGCCAGCACTACATTTATGCCGACATTCTCAAACTATTCTTCACATCATTGAATCACCTATTGGATGGAATGTGACAAGACAAAGAATTACAATAGAAAGACATTTTTCAATTAGATAGTTCACATTTGAAACATATTTCCTCTGATTGGTGGCGATACTCTGTTCGTGTCCTTTTGAATAGAACTATTATCCACTTGAACAAAAGGCAGGACATTGTCTATTGTTTCAGGTTAACAGTGGCTGTTTCTTCAAGTCGCTCTGAACAATGAATATGGATTTACAACCTATATTTCACCTCTCTATCTTTACAGAATAGCGAATTGATTGATTTTGTGCCGAATACCCATGACAAAATGAATTGATCCAACACACCTTAGGAAGAGGGCACAATCATAAATCACCACACACACGTGCGTGCGTGCGTAGGGATCCATCGGTGTAAAACCTGGCTGCTGCCTTGTTGTACTCCTTAAAACGCAACCCTCTTAAGGCGCGTGTAAGTTAAACTAGTCTGAAATCCAAAATCGGTGTTTTCAAGATGCACTTTGAGGCATCAGCCTGAGTGGGCCCCTCAGTGGATTAATGTGTGTCAGGAGGAGGGGACGGGGGGGGGGGGGCGATAATTGCAGGACAGGTGGATTTAGCGAGTCTGGCAGACAATTATCAGCACTTTGTCATGGTCCTGCCACCAGCCCCGACATTACCTGTCTTTAATAGGCTTTAATTAGCCTGGGAAATTTCATTTAACCAAGACCTGGAGTGGAGAAACCAAACGCGTTAAAAAAAAGAAAAAAAAAGAAAAGTGGAAATACAAAATCCTTCTGGAGTTTTAATGAGAAACGGGAGCTACATTTGAAAATGTCATACATTTCCCAATTGCACAGCAGGCTTAAGTTGACTGACTTTTTGTGTATAAGTGGGTAACATCCCGTCTTGTCCTAAATGGTGGAATATGCTGTGACTTTTCTTTAAAGCGGTTTCTGTTGAAAACCGTCGACACGTGAAATAAATTGTGTTGATTGCAAATACCCAGGATTCCTAGACGAGGGCGACGTGCCAGCGACTAATCACATGACAATTATTTCTGTCAATGTCACTTCATTTGCTGTATCTCACGTCAGCTGTAAACGATGCTGTCACACTGTACACGAGGAGAGATGCGTGAGAAGGATTTTACTAAAGCAGAGTTGATCCATGTTGATGTTTTAGTTCTCCTCCTTTGTGCAGATGCTGTGTATTAACGTGTAACTCTGAAACTAAACGTGATTGCTATTTTATTTTTTCTCCCAGAGAAATATATCAATAAGTATACTGTTCCTTACTTTTAGTGTTTGTTGATCAATATCACGTAGATACATGTCATATTTATTGCTAGTATTTATATATTGCTCTGATTTGCAGTTTTGTAATCCTTGCAGATTGTGCCTGTTTTGATTTAACCGCTTGCTTAATCTCATTTCAACGTTTCCCCTGTAAAATAGCAGTGAAAAAAAAAAAAGAACTGTTGCGTGCAGTGTAAGTACAGATGTTAAATCGGGAATATTTGATTTCTAAGGGGGTTCATTTTGTTCAAAGGAAATTGTAAAGATCAATAACAGGTTTCTATGGCATTAAATCTCATTTGAACTCGTCTCACAGCGTGTTACCTCCCGTCTGTTCACAGTCGCCCGGTTTTCGTTCCTACGAGTACTTCTCAGCAGGATAAACACGCCGTTTTAAGAGCTACATTCCGCTGTAGCTTTTTAATGGGCAATAAATCTGTGTCCACGGGCGTGGATGATACCAGAGGTACACCTCAGGGAGCACATCCATTCTGCCGTGGCAATCAGCGACAGGGTTCTTTTCATCGCTTCCATTACTCTTATCTGATCAGGGTGAAAGGCACCCGGTCCTCAGGCATCCAGTCACACCAGGGCGCTCGCCCAGATCCCTGCAACGCTGAGGAATGTTTATTTTATTTAACACACCTAAATAATAAACTATTTTCTCAATTTTTGGTTTGCCGCCAAGGTTGACAATTCGCACCAATCATTGAATATAAATACTGAAAAATAAATACTGCATTCACCTCGCGAGGAAAGATCTATTGCAAGCATCATTACTGTGCAAATCAATAATACCGTGTCAAGTCACATATATCATAAGTCACTTGAGGACATGTCAGCTTTCGCTGTGACTCTGGGAAAAGGCCTAAAGGCCTAAAGGATTACTTCCCCTTCCTAAAGACTGGAACACGGAAACGAGACGTGTAAATAAACTTTCTCCAGCTGCACATCCACCGCCCAGAGGAACGGGCTAATTCCTGGCTCCTTTCCTGGTGTATTGGGAATATATTCTGGGAAATTTCAAATTTATGAGGATGAGTCTGGGGGGGGGGGGGGGGAGGTAAAAAAAAAAAAAAACCCAAACATTAGTTTGAAGAATCTCAAGAGTACAGCACGAAACCTTGTGCGATGCACTGAGTAGATTAACAGCAGCGTTTCTCTGATATCAACGTGTCGGGTCCATTAAAGCAGCGTCCCGTCGTTACAGGCGATCATATGACACATACAAGTTAAGCAGTTTGATCAAGCCCGTACTTCTATTAATCCGCCTAAAGCCTGGCCCAGTTTCATTGTCTGCCGCCTTATTTATTTATTTATTTAAACACATCTCATTTCCTACGACGCAAATGAACACATTTTTGAAATGCGACGATGCCACTGCGGGCAGCTCGTCTTTCAAGTGTAACAGCGAGTGTGGGGGGAACGGAGGGGGGGGGGGAGAGAAAGAGGGAGATAAAAAGGTTGGAGAGGCGTCCTGAAGCCACGATGGTATCAGGTCTTTTCCTCGGATGTGTGCTGAGAGGGGCGGACGAGGAGTCGGCGAGCTGCTGCTGATGAAGATGAAGAAGGGGAGCTGCCTCGCGCTGGCTTTAATTAGGCCTTGTGCTGAGCATTCACACGTAAAACAAGAGGAGAGAGAAAAGGGGCTTTCATGTGGCGTAAGAGGTTCGACGTTAAAACACGTTGCTGTTCTCCGGTTTAGGAACATTTTCTTTTGATTATCACAGAGTTGTTTTTTTTCTAATCTTATAATTAAAAGAAAACCTGTGGAGACAGAGAAAAAAAACTATTCACCTCAACCCTGACACGGGAGAAAGAAGCATTTGAATGAAACAGTGTGGATTATAATCACCCGTTCACTTTGAATTAAACTAACAAAAAAAATAAAAAATAAAACCTGGGCTCCTTCAGACTGCTGGAAAATGGTTTAATGGGTTAATGCAGGCATCCTTGCAGACCACAACTTCCTCTTTTCTCTTCCCCCCCAAAAAGTTCTCAACATGACTGAATGATGAGTAACGTCGTGCAAAACGATGCTACTCTTTTAATTTACAAAAATCCTCTGAAGTGTCGGTCACACCACACTACGTACAAGACGGACTGAATAAACATGACACCCCCCCCCTCCCCTCCATTCAAACACAGAATAACATTGCCAGTAGAAGTGATGCTCAGCATCCTACAAATGTCCAAGCATGTTAAGAGGATTTTTTTTTTTTTTTTGCACACTCAATTCATTTCATTCTGCACAAACGTGTCAGATAATTGCAGAAAATAAATTGTTAGAAAAACAAAATTGGTACTTGGACACTTTCTTTGACAATAACATGACCATGCATTAGTCTCTCCACTTTTAGTTACCACAATATAGTGAGAATATATGATATTTGCAAGTTGGCGATACTAGACAGAAATTCTCAAAATTTAATCTAGAACAGTTCACAGACGTATGATCTGGAATATGTCATCCAAATGGGAGACCGAGTAAATACTTCCAATGTTTTAATACAGTAGGGCCAAAGTGGACACTTTCCCGTCTCGCGTGTATTACAGGGATTGACACTGGGTCTTCATAATGGCAGGTTACAATTTCCCCCTCAAATATGGAATAGAACGGACTTTCTTGTACACTGGTCTTCTGAAGATGGTTCAACTGTCATTTACATAGAAATGGTGCCATCAATATGGGGCATACACATATTTTAAAAAGTGTAAAGAACTGACCTTGCACTGAAAGTGTTCATGCTTTTTAATGTCTAGTCACAAAACGGGCTAAACATTACAAATATATAATATTTCCCATTTAATTAAACCTTTGTTACGTTCCTATAGAACTCCATATCAAAATGACTATTCATGGGAACTAGTGCAACCTGGAGGTGGCCTGGTCTTTGTGACAAGGCAGGCACAGAGTAAAATAGACAGAGTACTCCGGAGCAGCTCCAGAGCAATGGCAGATATATTAAGGCCATTTTTAAAATTACAGGAAAGAAACAAAAACAAAAACAAAAAAAAAAAAACAGTAGCAGACAGCTTGACTTGCTACCCGGGCTGAACAGAATCCAGCTGGGGCAGCAAAGCAAGCAAAGCGACACCAATTTGACCGATTCTTTTTCTCTTTCCTAATCCACTGATGTCGGCGTGCCAGCCTTTCCCCACAGTCCCCCGGCCAGAAAGCTCCACTCTTTCAATTATTCAAGTGTGTTCAGTTTTGGTGGAAAGAAACGAGTGGCGTCCTCACAAGTCCGTCCTCCTTGCGAACCCGCGCTTCACACCTCCAGTAAAGTCCCGGGGCACAGTCGGGGCAGTCAGGACTGTTTTAGGCGCTTCCTGGGAAGACCAAACTGTGGGCACTGTGCTGAAGCCAGGGCGCGAAAGGCCTCGGCTACCAAGTGAGGATGGGATTGGATCATTGACTTCCAGCCCGCAGTCTCCATTATATCTGTAGCATGACTGTAAGCAAAAAAGGCAAAAAAGGGAAGTTAACACTAAGACACCGAGATGTGCACATTAAAAATCAATAAGCACAAATGAGATCATAACGACAAAGCAAATAAGGGGGCATTTGATTTTCGGAGTTGCGCGGTAAAACTTTGAAAAGGGCCATTAGTGCCGTCTGTGCATGAGCAAAGGTGGAAATTAATGTGGAGTGGGAATGTCTTCACAAGTTGAACACGACAAGCAGGGAAATAAGTTCCGACGGTTCAAGGTGTCCTCTGACACCATACTGTATCAATCCCAGAGCGGCCACTTCCCTTCTTACCAAAAGAAATAAATAAAAGAAATTCTGCAAATATTCCATTTCCGAGGTTTATCCAGGTACGAGTCTATTAATAACTTGAACACAAAGATACGGCGCTTCAAACTGAGAAGGCAAATAGCACTCTGTCTGCCACGGCTAAAACAATGAATTCTAATGCATCTGGTTGGGGGAAAAGATAAGAGGGTGTTATTAATCTTGTGTCACATATATCAGCTAATTACATACTTGCTATTCCAGTTCTTTCCATCTTTACAGCCCAGCTGTCTCAGGACACTGCACCTATGGCAAGGGAGATAAAAAGGTAAGCATGCAGGGCTGGTAAACAGAAATGGCAGCAGGAATTTATCACTCCAGGTTTTCTCTTTTTTTTTTTTTTTTTCTTGCGATACTTGCCTGTTGATAAAATCTATGGCTTGTGCTTTGAGCTGCTCGGCACTGTGCAAGTCTGCTAGGATGAGGGTGTCGGCCACATTCTCCACTGAAAGGCCGTTGCACAAGGCCTCTTCACACATGACCTTTAAACGCTCCAGAGCGTACTGCGGTGGGGGGGGAGACAGACACAAAAAAAGCTGTGGTTACACGCTGGATGCTGGTTCGAGGTTCTGTCTCAGCTGTTCTCAAAATATGTGATATTTTTACGACTCTGCTGGAAAGAGAGAGGGGAAAAAATGAATTACCAGGTCCCAAAATGTCCAACTAGCGGTTTCCCTTTAATATGTGCTGCAATCTTAAACAGGAAGTGCCCAATATCCCCATATGGTCTATGTGCGGGATCCCTTAAGCAAAGAGTGAGATGATTAAGGAGAGGGAAGTTAGGGAGCATCTCTCTCTCTCTCTCTCTCGCTCTCTCTCTAGTCGTTTAGTGCGTTTCCTCGCGTCCGAGAATGTCCTCCTACTTTAGTAACACGCCGCTTGTTGCCAACGGACAACAAACTGCCATTATCGACGCACGCTGAATAGAAACCACGTCACCCATTTCTGTTAACCCGAGTCAGCACTCTGAGCTCCTTGCGGATGTTGAGTTACAAGCTTCACAGACAGACGGCGGAGCGTGTTGAGGAGCGGCCGTGCTGTATAGGATTCGAGATTTTTCACACTCTGTACAAGCAGCTCTAATGCTAGAAGATGGAGGAGAGGGGGGGGGGGGTCTGAAGCAGACAATATTTTTTATAGGTTATCAATACTGAAATGATGTCGGATAAGATGCAGCCTAACAGCGGAGTAATTACACAACAGGACACATTAGCCTTTAAGCCCTCATTGACTTACAAAGCTGCCCTCTCACCTCGTTGGCGGCTGCAGAGCTACATGACCCCACGCCAGCGGATTTTCAGAATCACCTTGTGTTTTAGTGACCTGATGTGATTACTAGTTTAACATAATCCCTAATGTTAAAACTAAACTGCAACAAAAAAAAAAAAAGCAATGAAAATGCATATTCGGTCAATGCGTGAAACAACGAGCTGTTTGTTCAAATAAGTCGAGTGCAAAGGTGACTTCAGGGTGTGGCGGTTCGGCTGAACCATTGTTTGCAGCCCATTTAC